TAAACCCCAAACCCCCAAAGCCTGAACTTCAAGGATTTACTGAGGGTTTGCAGGAGGGCATTAAGTGTCGTCATCCCAGGCCCCCGACTTCCTTCCAGGTTTCCTGTGAATAAGGTTTAGGCTTTAGGGGTCCTTTAAAAGGGCTTTATGAGGGTCTTCTGGGTTCTTGTTTTTGGGGTTACAAAAAATTGTTTGTGCTATTTTAGGGTTAAATATATATTTTGGCTTTGGCGGTTTATATATCATCAATGTATTCGATGTGATGAGGTGCAGGCTCACGAGTGGGGCACCGATGTTGCGGCGCTGGAGCCTGCGGCGCTTGAGGCAGCAGGGTTGCAGTGGGCTGGTTGTTTAGGCTCTAGGGTTTAGGGTTTAGGGCTGCTTGGAGTCTCCGACGGCCTGAGAACCTGGCCACCCCCGAACTTTTTGCGATCATCCGTAGTGCATACCCAGACTTCAAGTTTCAAATTCAAAGCCAACGTAATATCTATTTTGGTTTCACGTAATATCTATATGGTTTCAAGTCATGTCAGTTCACTGCACATGATCACTTGCCCCCCCTTTTTCCGGCCATGCTGACGGTCCGGGGCTGCATTTCTTCGCCTCGTAGGCGCCAAGGGATTATCGGAGCCTAGTCGTATGATGATTATTCTTAGTACTATTATTATTAGTATTATTATTATTAATAATATTTAATAATAATATTATTAATATCGTCTTCCCATGCCAGCGATTCTTTCAAGACCCCGTAAGAATAAACTCACACGCGCACGCCCAATCTGCATCCCCAATAAGATGGACGACGGGCAGAATTGAATTTGTAGTGTTGGCCCAGTTGGAAGAGGCTTGTCGTTTGGTGGATGTTAGGCCCGATGCGCTCCAGGAAAGGGCGGCAACAAACCTGAAGTTGAGCCAAAGCAGAGTAAGCACGTCCAGGCACAGGCAGGGAGGCTCGTGTCGATGGCGGGAGCCCTGGTTTGAGGCTTGAACTACACAGCAACCGCAGGACCGGGAGGGAGTGCTACGCTAGGTGCTTGCCCGGCTTGCCAACCGGACTCGACAGCCTAAGCGATGAATCCCGGGTCGACGCACGCGGCCAGGTGGTGATCATGGCAGACCTTATCTACGATGTCGAGCCCTCCAAGCAGCTGTAGCTTGTCAGTGTTGGCGGGGTCTCACGACCGGGTAGTGTTGACAGGGTCTCACGACCAGGTAGCGATCCACCACATCATACAAAGTGCTAAATCCTCCTAGAACCATAACTAGAAAAGCCTAAACCCTAAACCCAAAACCCTAAACCCTCTTGACCTTCCACACAAAGGGACTGACTGGCTCGTGCTTCCGGCAGGCTTGAGGTTTCGGGCCTGCGTCTCTGCGCCTGACTCACATCTCCCCCGCAAAAGCAGTATAAGGGTTTAGGGTTTAGGGTTTAGGGTGCTGTCCTGGCGTGACGTTGCAAGCCAGTTGCAAAAGGGTTTAGGGTTTAGGGTTTAGGGTTTCGATGATATCTGGCAAGGGTTGCCGTGCGAATCTATCCGAAATCCCTTCTGTCACCAGCCACAGCTACTACAGCAAGCAGGGAAGACTCTCCGAAGCCCTATAGATCCCTGAAGCCTACACCCTAAACCCTACACCCTAAACCGAAATCCCTAAATCCTGAACCCCAAACCCCAGTCCCGAAACCCTAAACCCTACACGCTAAACCCTACACCCTAAACTTCACCCTACAACCTAACCCTAAACCCTAATCCCTAAACCCCGAACCCGAATCCCTAAACCGCAAACCCTGAAGCCTACAACCCCAACACCCGCCTTTCAATGCAAAAAGCCCTCAAACCCAGGCCCTGGGACCTTGAGCAATCCAGCCAAAAGCTTGAGCTTATAGTCTGCAGGGCTTAGGGTTTAGGGTTTAGGGTTTAGGGTTTAGGGTTTTCAGGGAAGTGCATTATTCACAACTTGCTCTCGATCGTGTGTGTGTTTTTGAGGTGGTCCCCGCGAGTTTCTTGAGCCATGTATGGAAGTGCAGCCATGAGAGCTGAATCTCCGTATGCTCAGACATTCTGTGTTTGCGAGTTCCC